TTTTTTTGAGACAGAGTCTCGCTCTGCTGCCCAGGCTGGAGTGCAGTGGCGCGATCTTGGCTCACTGCAACCTTCGCCTTCTGGGTTCAAGCAATTTTTGTGCCTCAGCCTCCTGAGTAGCTGGGGTTACAGGTGTGTGCCACCACACCCTGCTAATTTTTGTATTTTTAGTAGAGATGGGGCTTTGACCATGTTACTCAGGCTGGTCTTGAACTTCTGGCCTAGATCCGCCACCTCAGCCTCTCAAAGTGCTGGGATTACAGATGTGAGTCACTGCTCCTGGCCTGTATTTTCTTTTTTTCCAGTTAAACTCATAGCAAATATATCATGCAGGTGTATTTTCTGATCAAAAGAATAAATGAACGTAAAAAGCAAATATATTAAAGAAACAATATCCAGTAAAGTCCTTAGTACTTAGAAATGAAATACCTTTCTAAATAATACATGAGTCTAAAATCAAAAGAGAAATTAGAAAATGTTTCAAAATTAGAAAGTTATTTGAAACAGAATAGTAAAAATATAACATCAGTCTTTATCATGCAGCTTGAAAGAGTACTTAAGAGGGAACTTTATAACTTTAAGTGCTTATATAACTAAAAGGAAAAAATAGTCAATTATCTATGTTTTTGCCTGAAGAAGCTACAAAAACCCAAAATAATGAGAAGTAAAGAGAGATCAGCAAGAGTGTGGTGCATTGGAACATAGGACAGAAGAAAAAGGAGTTTTCAAATATCTATTTCTCTTGAAATCTTTGCAATTTAGGAATGGGAGCTGCCTCTTTTGATACGTTTTCATTGTTGTTGTTGTTGTTGTTGTTAATGAATATTTTCCAGTATCAGTGAAAAATTTTCAGACACACCATTTAAAAATAGTCATTCATTTTGATGTTCTGAGGTTTATTTATTCACTCCCCTTCTGTCAAGCATGTAGGCTGTTAACAGTGTTTCAGTATTACAAATAAACCTATTATAAGCCTCAAACTGCCTTCAAACTTAGAGAAGATTTATTGGAGGTTTATTAGACCAATCTCCCAGAAGTTAGACTTCTGGGTACTCTGATTTGTGTGCTTGTCTTCTGATGGTCTGTGAACTCCTTATGGGATAGGACTCTGTTCCAATTATTTTGGGATCCCTACTGCTTAATTTATTGCCTATGCGCAGAAGAGGCAGACAGTAATGATGCACTTACAGTGACATGGAGCCTTTATTATGGGTGCTGTCAAAACCCTTTATGCTTATAATATTTAATTATCATAATTGTGAAAAATACATACCATTTTAAACTTTATTTAACTGACAAGAAACTAAGTTATAGAGAGAAAGTTAAAAAAAAAGTGCCAGGGTCACACATCTAATACTATGTGGCAGAGTCTGAGTTTTAGGATACTTGAAATAAACTGAATGGACCTTTAAATTTAGGGTGATGGAGAAGATGATTTGGGCTTCAGAGTTGCATGTGGCTTTGGCGTTTCACTTTTACAGTCTAATTGTGTCGCAAGTCCTTGTGTATGTGAGCCTCAGTTTTCTTTTTCTTGAAAATGATGGTATTAGTAATTACTTCTAAGTTTATTAGGGAAGCACATTTTAAAACGCATACACATAAAGCCACCTTATACAGGGCTGGAACAATATTAAGCCCTTAGTCAGTGATTGGTTGTTGTCTCTTTTTCCTGTCTCCCTTACTTTAGACTTGTTCTTAAGCTCTCAAAGCTTTTCTCTTTTATAAAAGTAAACATAATTATATTTGCAGATTTGTTATAAAATATAAATGAGATTTACTCTTTAAAAATGATTTTAACATTTTTTAAGTTAAAAAATTGTGATAAAAATGAATTTTAAAAAATTTGAAATTTGACATTTACCAGTTTTTAAGTCTACTGTCCCAGTAGTATTAAGTATATTACATTTTTGTGAAACAGATCTCTAGAATTTTTTTCATCTTGAAAATGTGAAACTCTGTGCCCATAAAGCAGCTTCTCTCCTTCCAGCCACATCTCCTGGAAACCACTATTCTACTACCTACTTCCGTAAGTTTGACTGTGTTAGGTATGTTATATAAGTGGAATCATATGTTATTTATTCTTTTGTGAATGGCTTATTTCACTTAACATAATGTCCTCAAGGTTCAGCATGTGTTAGAATTTTTCCTTTTTAAGGCTGAATAGTATTTCATTGAATTTATATACCACATACTTTTTATTCATTTGTGGACAAACACCTGGGTTACTTCTACCTTTTGGCTGTTATGAATAATGCTACTATGAATATGGGTGTTTGAATATCTTTTCCAAACCCTGCTTTCAGTTCCTTGGATTATACCCAGAAGTGGGATTACTGAATCTTTATGGTGGTTCTAGTTTCAGTATTTTTAGGAGCCTCCATGTTGTTTTCCATAGCAGTTGTACCGTTTTACATTCCCATCAACAATACACAAGGGTTTCGATTTCTTCATATCCTTGCCAAACCTAATTTTCTATTTTTAAAAAATGTAGCAGCTATTATAATGGGTGTTAGATTGGTTTTAACATTTCTTATTGATACACATTTTTGGATAGAATTAGAAAAGTGACTCCTGAAATCTCTTGGTAAGCTGGAATAGCATCCATTCATACCAGTATGACAAAACCAAAAGCATATGGGAGGGAAATTGACCAAAAAAGCCAACTACTGTGTAGCTCCGTTTGGAAGGAAGAAAAGCTTATTTATGTCTGTTGCTTGGAATATAGATATGATGAGGGATAGATCCACACTAGATGCTACTGATATATACACATATATACACTTTTTTTTTTTTTCCTTTTTGAGATGGAGTTTTGCTCTTGTTGCCCAGACTGGACAATCTCAGCTCATTGCAACCTCTACCTCCCAGGTTCAAACGATTCTCCTGCCTCATCCTCCCAAGTAGCTGGGATTACAAGCATGTGCCACCACGCCTGGCTGATTTTTTTGGATTTAGTACAGATGGAGTTTCACCATGTTGGGGTGGTGTTGAACTCCTGATCTCAGGTCAGCCACCTGCCTCGGCCTCCCAAAGTGCTGGGATTACAGGCGTGAGCCACTGCGCCTGGCCTGATACAGAGTGTAGAGTCTGTAGTAATGGTTAGCTTTTTCAGGCCGTCATGAGGGATAAATTTAAAATGTATATTGTTGATTTTTCACTTTTAGCTGAGAAATGCAGGTTGTAGAAGGGATTTACATTTACCACAAGGGGTCCTCCTGACACCGTCAGACCCCCAAGCCAGTATTAATATGTCTGTGACTGCAAAGCCCAATTTCTGACAAATAAGCCAGAACCTTTACAGCCTTATCAGTGTTTTTCTCTGCTTCAGTTAGCTTGGAAAGTTAACCTAACTTGGAAAGATACAATTGCTAGATACTGTTGCTATTTGTTAAATAAGGTGAGCAGTCAAACTGTGGATAAATTGCATTTATAGGGTAAAAAAAAATGATGATGATTAAATAAGTTGCATGTGTGTATATGCATTTTCCATAAAATAAAAGTTCTATGTTTCTTTTGGACAACGTTAGTGTTAAGTAACTACTGGATTGCCTTTTGATATTTGCATTATTATGGTCAGTATAAGCAAAAAAAAACAAAAAAAAACCTCTGTTTTATAACATGTATGGATAGATTGAAAATTTTGGTGAGCTTATTCTGTCCTGTGTTGTCATGCTTCTACCACTGCATCTGAAAAACGAATGCAACATCTTCTTACAGATTTTAGGAGCCTTTAAGAAAAAAGCAATTACAGCAGTTAACCTCTCAACAGTTTCTAAATCTGGAATTTAGCTTTGATCTCTGTCTGTATGGCAAAACAAAAATAAGAAATTATCATTAATTAGAGTCCGTGAAAATACTGCTTAGATTAATAAGGTCAGGGTTTTGTTGTTTTTGCCTTTTTAGGTAATGAAATAGTTTTTATGCCATTAATTTTAGAGGTACTTGAGAATACACATTTTATTGTCTTACCCAATTGACAGAAATATTAAATAAGATTTTCATGGTAAGAGTTGCATTTTCCCATCTATTTTTTGTATTTCACTGTTGCTTAATTTAGTGGTTATAGTTATTTTCTGGTGATTTTGATACATCTGTCAAGTACCAGCTACATGTCTAGCAGGTAGTGTGATGACTTTTATCTGAATTTGTATTGGGGCAGGATTACTGACACCAGAGGGCTGTCACATGAGCCTCACGATTTGGTGAATTAGGATGTTGCATGGGGATAAGAGCAGCTTAATCTGTCCCATATTCTTTGCTGTGTTTCTTCTCTTCCTTTCTTTGTCCCGTTGGTCCTCACTGTGATTCATTTGCCCTTTGTAGGCCTATTTCCAGACTCTTCTCTGGAAACCTTTATAGCATCTGGAGGTAGGTGATACTATAGGTGGTGGTTTAACTGTGTCATCTGACTGGTGTCCAAGTGCCTGATGCACATCCCAGCTCTGCAACTGACCAATTAGTTGTAATATTAGGTATGTTACTAAATTTATCTGTTCCTCAGTTTGTTCATGTGTCATACATGGATTGTAATATCATCTATGTTGTTGGTTGTTAAAAGTATTAATTGAGAAAATAGGTGGAAAGCACTGCAGCAAATTGGTGAAGTACGTGGACTCTGTAGCTAGACTGCATGAGTTTGATTTCTAGCTTTGCAACTCAAAAGTTCTGTGACATTGTGAATTTAAGTTACCTGGTCTCTCTGTGCTTTGATTTCTTCATTTGTAAAATGGGGATAACAGTATCTACCCCATGGGTAGTTTGTTGTGATAGGTAGGTGAGTCAACATTTTTAAAGTTCTTGGAAGAAGGCTTGGTACAGAGTTAGCATTCACTTGGTATCATCATGTCAAAATTATATTTTCATTATTATTAGCGTTGCTATTATGCTATTTTGTGACTGGCACGTAGTACTCAATAAGTGATAGGTATTGTTGCTCTCCTCATTTTACTGATGAAGAAACTGAAGTTCAGGATGTTGAAATGATTTTCTTTGTCTCACAGGCAGAACTGGGGCTCCTTTGCATCTTCCAGTTACAAATTCAGTGCCTTCTGCAGTTTCCCCAGAGCTCCTCAAGAATAACGGAAGGGAGGTATAGTAATTGTTAAGAAACTTTGCAAAGAAATTGAATAATGCCAATACTGTCACCTTTTGGAATTTGTTGGTATTTCCTGGTGTTTGTCTTTGGAAGGTGATTAAATTTATCATGACTAATATTTCTTTGGTCTTAACCGAGTCATAATTTTTGTTGATAGACTGAAATTTTTGAAAAATTGTTTTCGTGGTGGAAACAGCAAGACAAAATGACAGGAATGGTAATTAGTAATCTTACTGGAAATGAACGCGTTATAAGATACCTGACATTCTAAAGTTAGGATATATTGTAATTATCAAGTGCTAATTGGAGGAACCATATTGTAAAACTGTCCAAGTTATTTAAATCTGTAACTCCCTGATTGATACAAACATAAAAGAGGTGAAAGATGATATATTTAGAAGTATACATGTATGCTATGAATACTAATTTTTTTTTTACATTCTTCCTGTCGATTGGCATAAAAGCATTTATCAGTGCTTTACTTTGCCAAATAGTGCTGCCATGGTGTTTGGTATTCCTTAAGAGAGACAAAATTATGACAATTATATGAGAAATGTGAAAGTTAGGCTGGTATTTTGTGAACTGCTTTTGGTGACATTTACAAGTAGTTCATTTCCTAATAGTTCATTCCTGGGGACCTTCTCATATATGGTCACAGTTTTGTAGGTAAGTCAGATTGGACAAAATTGTACATCATATGAAGGGGTTTAGAGTTCTCTCTTATGCTTACTGATCTTGCATATAACATTGTTTGCAACCCTGATGATTTTATGTAATCTCACACACTATTTTCATTTGTGCTCTATTAAAATTTGTGGTGAAAGTTTTAATAGGAGAATCAGTACAAAATAATGTGGTTTATTTTTTTATGTGGGATGGGAAGAGGCAGTCTACATGATTTTCCTAGACTTTATGTCCGTTTTTCTTTTCTCATATTCTTGAGAAAGCAAAGTTTTCATAATGTTTAGTTCACTTATTCATTCAATAAGTATATACCAAGCCTTTGTACTGTACTGAGATCTGGAAGTGAAGCAGTGCCCAGGATGGAGGCATGCCATACTGTCACTGATGTCCAGACATACGTATACCTTCTCTGTGACCATAGCCTTGAAAAGAAAAATTCTCTTTGCCATCTTCTCGTTACTCAGAGGTAATAGGCGGGTCGGTGGAATATGGCCTACACGTCTTACCATTTTAGTAAGGCCCTGGAGACAATATGTATAGGACAGACAGAATTTCCGTCACGGAGCTTGCATTGTAGTAGGGGCAGCCAGGCAATAAACTGAATGTTTAAGTAAATCATAAGGTGTTTTAGGAAGTTGTAAGTGCTGTGGGAATAAAGTGAAGCAGGGAGAGCAGATGGGCCATGCAGTTTCAGACAGGGTGGTCTGGATAGGCCTCGTTGAGTAGGCGACATTTGAGCATAGATGTGGCAGGGGGAAGGGAGCAAGCCATGTGGATAACGCGGGAGTAAGAGTGTCCCACATAGAGGGACATCAGTGCAGAGTCCCTGACGTGGGCAGGGAGTGGCAAGGAGGTCAGTGTGGTTTGTGCCAAGGAAACTAGGGGATCCTTGGCGATAGAGGGGAGCCATATCACGACCTTGCGGACTGTGCTAAGTATATAGGTGCTGAATCTGGGAAAGTTGGGGAACTGTTGGTGAGTTTTAAGCAAAGGAGTAAATTGTGTGATTGATGTTTTGGAAGGATCAGTGCACAACTCAGAAGAGTTGTGAATAGAGTGTAGGGTGGTGAGAGCTGGAGCAGAGAGACCAGGTAGGAGGCCTATGGCTGTAATCCAGGCAGCCTGGACCGGGGTAAGGCCAGGAGATGTGGTGAGAAATACATGTATTCTGATTATATCTAGAAGGTAAAGACAAGAGTTTACCTTTCAAGTAGGATTTACCAGAATTGCTTTAAAATATGCCAGTACTAAAAGAGTTTCGTGTAAAGGTCACGCAACTTTTAAATAAGTGGTTGGCTTTTATATTAGTATGTAGAATTCATAAATAAGGGAATATAGAGGACTGCTTACCCTTTTTCACTTACATTGCCATTATCTGTAGTCTGTTTCTGTTCTTTTCAAGATGTCACTGGATTAGGAATTTAAAAGCATAATTTGTCAGGAAGAAAATAATAAACACTGTATCACCAAACTAGCCAGTACTTGCCTCATTTTGCAGCTACTTGACCTTGGGCAAGTTGCTTGGCCTCTCTGAACTTCATTTTCGTCTTCTGTGAAAACAGGGAAGTAGCTGCTTCACTGAGATTATGTTATGGATTAAATGCAGTTTTTTATATATAACTATAGTTGCTCGATAAAAGGTATAGGTTATTGCTAGCAGTATCACCTGTATCCTCTTCAGTTCTTCTCTGTAGCATGAGTTGGTTCCTAACATTTCCATAGCTGCTGTTTCAATCTGGTCTCTACTTAGTCTCCTTGGTCTCTGACCTGGGTAATTTATGCTCTTTCATATCTTAACATCTTCCCATATGCTCAAAATCTTGCATATTAGGAGATGATATTTGGATATTGAAATAAATTATGAAGTAGTTGCAGGGATAGGAGAGAAAACCCCCATCTACTGGTCACTTTAAAGTCACAGAAACCAGGTTCATCCCTCTCCCTCATTCCCTATATTCACTTTTCTTGTTTGTCCTCTCGTCCTGTCTGTCACTGCAACTGCATTAGCTCCAGTCACCACCACCCTGTGCTTATATGACTCTCTCTCCTGCTCAGCTGGTCCTGTGGCAGCTCATCAGTCTAACTAAAAAATCCTTCCTATGGTGGGATGGTGTGCTGTGGTATGAAGACCCTGGCATCTTAGATGAGCGAGTGGGCTTGGTAGATTATTGAAATAAATTATGAAGTAGTTACAGTGGTAGGAGAAAAAGTGCCCATCTACTGATCACTTTAAAGTCACAGAAACCAGTTTTATCCCTCTCCCTCATTCTCTCCATCACTTGTTCTCTTGTCTTCTCTGTCACTGCAACTGTATTAGCTGCAGTCACTACCACCCTGTGCTTATACCACTCTCCCTCCTGCTCATCTGGTCCTGTGGCAGGTGTTCAGTCTGACTAAAAAATCCTTCCTGTGGTGGGGTGGTGTGCTGTGGTGTGAAGACCCTGGCATCGTAGATGAGCGAGTAGGCTTGGTAACTCCTGTGCCTCTTCCTAGTCTATGACCCTGTCTTTAGTCTTAGTGCTCTCAGTTTTTAAAAAATTGTAATACCACGTTTTTGCTTAAAAGATGGGAAAATTACATGTAATCAGTACTTCGTGTGTAGAATATAATTGTAGGTTGCTAATGAAGGTAGCTTTTATTTTGTAACTTTTGACAACCATAAGTTCCAAGGTGGACTCAGTGTGCTTGGATTATTTGTACAGTCCGTTAGTCGATGGCTCAGATTAAACTCCAGTCTGTTCTCACGGGAGTGGGTCAGATATGCTTGCTGGTGAATGTGCTCTTATCCTTCCCATCATGGCAGTGGTCCTTTACAGTCTTGGTCTCTTAGTAATGATGGAGGCTGGGGATTGTTTTTCATGTATTCTAGTTTATCTAGTTGCTTATTTCCTCTGTTCTTTTTCTAGCTTGCTTGCGTTTTTCTGGAGCCCCTTTCTTCCCAGTGTTCCCTGGGGTCATAGTTCACGCTGGTGAATGATGTGTTTTCAGTGGAGCATAGAAGAGGTCACTTGAACTCTGGCTACTATTAGGAGCCTGGAAGTAAACCTAGAGACAAAGCCATCATCAAAAGTAGCATGTTAGAAATGAAACAACTGTCCTGGGGCATCACTGGACACAAATAAGCCTCTTGTTCTCCTCAGGCTTTGTTAAGCTATTCTTTTCAGAAGTTAGTGACTTCATAAACAAAGCCACGGTCATTTTCACTGTTCAGTAAAATACTTGATTTTTGATTGGTTTATACAAGTGTACTACTAACAAAATTACCCACATTTGGGAAAGCTAGAACTGTAGAGTCTCAGTGTGTCTTATGTATGTTCAGAGAACAAAGGCACCAGGAGCCTAGTTACTAATTATCTTACTGCTAAAGTGGAATGTGTTCAGATAGCTAAGTTTTTGAGATGATCTTGACTATCTCACAGTTTGAATGGAAAAACTAAGTAGCTCTGCATTTTAAAAAGTTGCTAATACAGATTGTAAGGTTGTTTTTCTGTCTGTCTCTTTTAGTATGAGTTTATTACTCGCTTATGTTTTGAAACTAAGAAAGGAAATCATGCCTCTTGGATCCCTCAATATTCCCTAAGCTAATTTTAAAGAATGTGGCTACCTCAAATTCTTGATTTTCTGTTTTCGAGAGAATTTTTAAAATTTATACACTTACTATGAGTGTACCAACCAGGAAAAATGTTTTACCACGAAAATATTTGGGTACCTATGGACGTAGAGACATAGATAGATCAGGATTTTTTTTCCAGAAAGGATTTTTATTTCGTCAAAGTAATTATTTTAACTCTAAGGTCATAAAGAATTAGGTTAGTAAAATGACAAAGGCATGACTTTGAAAACAAAAATGGTTTGAGAAGCCATCTACAGACATGATCTGGGTCAGACTTGATTTGCAGCTTACTCGATTTTAGAATCGGTTGTCAGTTTTGTAAACAGAAGACTGCTGGATGAATTGAACAGAAGGGTGAGATTAGCATATTAATAAGTTACTGGCTACTGGCCTTCCTTTTCTCCTCCCTCTTTTCCCTCCCTCTTTCTCCTTCCCTGAATGAATCTAGGAACACAGACCCGTGGGGTCACATTACTAGCTGGTTTCATTCTGTTCAGTAGCTTAATCTAGCCAGGATGGTCTGTGTTTCAGATTGCGGAAGCATGAGAAGATTCTGTAACTGAGAGGCATTCTTCAAGCTGCTGGAAAATATTACAGAAGGAACACCTTCCAAATTTTGCTTCAAGCTCTGAGAAAAGGAGCACACAGGGGAACCTTAGTCTTGCTTGTGGATCGAAGCAAATACTATCACAGCGAGGAAGTGGGACTTTGTGTGCGGACTCCTGGCTTGATCTTTATAGGATTGGGTGTATGTTGTTGGAACTGGCAGGCCAAGAGGCCCTGAAACCAGCAGGTGCCATCTATATGGAGAAAAGCGGCTGTAGTCCATTTCCAGTGTGTTGGGCTAAAGGTATAAATAACTTAAAAATATGTTCAGTTTTGTTTAAATTCATGCTTTTGCACCGAAAAGGTAGATAAATGTTTTTCAGAATTTATTTCAATATATTTACAGTTAAAACTTTGAGGAAAAATGGAAATTGATTTGGTATGGGTTTACAGCTATTACATGAAACCAGTTAGATAGCTTTTCATATAGTAAATGAAATATTTTTTATGGAAACGAATTTTAAGTGCATTAAGCTATCTTTTAATGTTCTGTCCCATGTCTCTTAATAGTTTTATTTTTTCTTTTAATTTAAGACATCTGTATGTATTCTGTAATCTGGAAGTTTTTAAGGAAAAAAGAGAGGAATTTTAACTTAAAGAGGGTTGTAGGAAATAAGAGTAACATGTATTTTTTACTTTAAAAATTAGTTTTCTTTACCCACTGTAAAGATTGTATATTCAGTTGGAAACTCCATATTATTGTAAAGTGAGCTTAGGAATACCATGCATAAACAGTTTTCTTTCTTAATGTTTTTAGGGTTTTTATTCACATAAAAATGTAAATATAAAATACAGCATTTTCATTGTAACATTCAAGACAGTATTTGGGAAACATATTGAGAAGTTAATGCTGTGTAATTTGTGCTTGACTACAAGCAGATCAGCTGTTTTGCTTACAGTAGTAGAGAATGTATAAGTTAGGAAATAAAGTTCTTAATGAAGAATATGATAAAAATATTTTTTATTATTATTTCAAATATATTTAAATATAATGTGACTCCACTTAGGAAAGATTTTTAAAAGGAGGAAGCCGCACTGTTGTAAAAGGTTGCGATTTTATAAGTAGAGGTATAGACTGATTCATTTTAGTTTTTGGGGTAAAAATTTTGGTACCACTGGGATATTGGTGTGTTAGCACCAAATTACAGTTTCACCATCAAAATGGTTTTTATTTAGTTGTTGCTGTCATCTGTTGATTATTTCCTAGGCTTTTAAACATTTACAAAACATACGATATTAGAACTATTTTAGTATTCACTTTGTTCACTTGTTTGTGTAATTAGATACTCAGAGTAAATATTTTGCTGAGTTAAATTCACACTCTTGGATTTTAAAGAGTTTTGGGAATGGGAACTTTTAAAAATTTTAGTTTCTCAGCATCAGAAATATATAGCATAAGTGAGTGTGACCAATAGTGTTCATAGCCAAAGAACTCTATACTTGTTAAAAATTTTGATCTTTTCCTGGATTTGCTGGAGTTCGTTTGCATATTGCCACCTCCATTGTATGATAACATTGTGTTAGCACTGATGATTAATAATAAGGCTCTGATTTCCTTCTTGGATTCAAGATCTATGCATCCAGTACCAGTGGGATATTAAATTATCAGCTACTGGATTTCTTTTTATTCAGTGTGACTTTAAAACTGTGAACTTCGGAAGAAAAGAGATTATAGTGTTTTTACTCACCCCAAAGCGATTGATGGAAACAACTTATTTTTCAATTAAGTTTGCTGGCTGTCAGAACAAATGAATAAAACTATTTTTAACTGAAATATGCATTATGATAGAGGTTAGGGTTGGATAAGAGAGAACAAAGCTCACACATATAAAAGATGGGAAAAGGTAGGGATCGTGTCAGGGGTCAGAATCAGTTTCCTGTGTAGGGCCGCAGCAAGCCATCTCCTCATGGTTTTGCTTTTTGAGTTGTTCAGAGGAGGTTCTGACAAAACCTAGGAGCTGTCGTCCTGTCCCTTCTTGGTGCTGCAGACACTGCTTCCATTGTGATTGCCCAGTGTGTAACTATCTTAGTAAACTTCCTCTCTCTCCCCTCATGTTACTCTTGTACCAAGACAGGAAGGCAGGAAACCTTGTTTTTATGCTGGTTAACTTTGTGTGATAAGGACAAAGATGTTGTTATATAGGAATTGGCTGAATTGGTTATATTCAAGTATAAAAGTTACAACTTGTAGATAAAGACACAGTAAAAAGCTCAAATCCAAATAATATACAAATCTCTATCTGCAGTTAGACATTCTAAACCACACGTTTGATTTTATCAGTCACATTAACCTCAAAAAGCACAGCAGTGTCCCAGTTTAAGAAGACACATAAAATACCAGGACAAGCTAAAAATAATAGAGCAGACTATATTTGTATCCCTTGAACTGAAACCTTTAAGGTATCCTTAAAGCATTCTGGGGCGTTTGAACCGAGCTCATTGTGCGGTTGAATTTGGTGTAAAGAATCCACCTTAGGTCCCATCCAAGGAAGATTATATTTTAAAGTATTAAAAAGGACTTTGTTTTAACATGGGTTCAACTACATCATGATTTTCTAGGTTTAAAGACAGTTTTGATTCAGAATATTGAATTAAATGTAAATGTTCACAGTATTATTTTAGGTTGCAAGACTATCAAGTGCAGAAAGTCCTGTTTGGGGAGTTATTTGATTATATCAGTTTTTACATTATTTATTTCATGTTTTTGAAAGGCTGGGAAGGACTAAAGAGTTTCAGAGATTTGGTTGTTAAATCCTGATCTGATCTCTTGATTTCTCCAGATTTGGGCCTTTGTCCTGTTGCTCATTAATAGCACAATTATTTTGTCTTTTCAGTGCCTCAGACACCCCAAACTCTTCCTCTCAGGCCTTTATACCTTCTGTTGCATTTTCCTAGAGCCATCATCTCTGCATTCTCTGACTAGCCAACTCCTACTTAACCTTTTAGGTCTCAGCTTAAATGAGCTCCATGAGAAAGTAAGTGTCTTCATCTTTTACTCACTGTCATATGCTTGGCACATACTAGGTGTTTGTGAAATATTTGTTGAGTGAATCAATGACTAGTGTGCAAAGAAAAATACCTCAGAGTAGAATGCATGGTACTGACATTAAAATGCAAAAATTACCGTGGGAATCTCACTCCGGTGCTCTCATTCCTCTCGGTCTAAACCAAGTTTTCTCTAATGTTCCCTCCTATATCCTTTTCTTCTGGTATTGTATAATACTTACTGTGATTTGTCGTTATATATTTTACTTTTCTGGATTTCTGTCTTCTATTAGACTGTAAACTTCACAGAGATAGTGTCAGTTTTTTTTTTCTTGACAAATAGTTGACATAAACGATTATTACTTTAATGAATGAATAAATTCTATATAGGGTTAGATTTGATTTTAAAAGGCTCTTTCAGAGCTAAAATCTTGTGATTAATACAGTTTTTTGTAGGTAAATCTAGTTTTAGGATCATTGAACTGTCAGAAATAAATATTCCATGTCAAACTTTTGGCCATTCTAATTTCGTTGAGTCTGTGTTCTCTTTTTTCTCTTAGAGTAAAAGTGTATACCCCGGGTTTAACATAGCACTCTGCCCATAGTGGGTGGCTAATGATGCTTTGGTCTTGAGCTGTTGTTAATTCCTATAGATTTATTTTAATATCTCACTGAATTTTTTGCAGTTTCTTTTCTTTTCTCTTCTCTCCTCTCTCCTCTCTCCTCTCTGTTCCCTTCCCGTCCCGTCCCTTCTCTTCTCTTTTTTCTTTCATGGCAGCGTCTTGCTCTGTCGCCCAGGCTGGTTCAAGCAATTCTCCTGCCTCAGCCTCCCAAGTAGCTGGGATTACAAACGTACACCACCACACCTGGCTAATTGTTGTATTTTCAGTAGAGACGGGGTTTCACCATGTTGGCCAGGCTGGTCTCGAACTCCTGACCTCAAGTGATCCACCCGCCTTGGCCTCCCAAAGTGCTAGGATTATAGGTGTGAGCCGCCATGCCTGGCCAATTTTACAGTTTCTTTCTGCTTTACCTCAAATCATGGCATTTTAAAAGAGAGCTGTGTTTCTTAATAGCTAAAACTTATTCAGAAATACTACATGCCATGCTGTGTTCTGAGCATTAAACATGCACAAAAAACATACGTGTTGTCCCATTCTCACAAATGTTTGTAAGCTGTCTGAGATGGGAAATATCATTATCCCCATTTTACAGATGAGATAATTGAGGTACTGAGAGATTAAATAACTTGACAATTGTTGCTCAGCTAATATAAAAGGCAGAGCAAGATTCTGAACAGTGGGAATCTAACTGTAGTGCCTATATTCTTAATCACTATGCCATACACACCCAAATAGAAAAATGGTAGGATCATAATGGAATTGTCTATTTCGTGTAATTTTTGCATTTTGATATATGTACTATGTCATCTACTCTCAGATGTTTTCGTTCTATTCATTCATTCATTCATTCATTCATTCCACAGATATTTAATGAACACCAAGTATGTGCCAAGCCCAGTGTACTTGGCATATGCCAGTGAGTCAGAGATACCTACTCCTTCATGTAGTTATTCTTCCAAGTGAGGGGAAACAGTGAATGACAAAAATAATAAATAAATAAATTGGTTAGTGTGATAGAAGGTGTTAAATGTTACGGTGAAGGTGAGGTCAGATGATAGTCTTATTATATAGAATAGCTAGGTGTAGACTGCATTGAAAACGTGCATTTTATTGAAGACCTGAAGGAAATATGGGAGTTAGCCAAGTGGATACTTGGGAAAAGAAAGTTCCAAGTCGATTGCGTGGGTAGAGCAAAGGCTCTTGCTGGGGAGAATGGCATTGTGGCCAGAACAGAGTGAATACGGGGTTATGGCTGTCTCTCCAATTCTTCGTGCCTACGAGGTGGTGGTTTAACCAGAGACACAGGCATGGGTTGAAAGTGAGGCCTGCTAGAAACAAGCCACAGTTTGCCAATCTATTCTAATCCACATTTCCTTAAAAATAGCTCCATGAGAGGAGTGAATTGGCCTTTAAATATCCTCCTGTGGGAAACACATGCCTCATTCTGGTTCTCTCAACAGATGTCTTAACAGAAAGACTGGTGAACTCTCCCTTTTCATTTCTATTTTGAATATTCGTAACATCAACTCATCCACAAACATAAGGCAGTGGGTATTAAACTTTATCTGATATTCTTTTCTGGTCCTCATTATTAGTATTTGGGAAAGAGACTGCTGGTTTTGCCCAGTTTTTTCCT